CTCTGCGTCGGCATGAGGTACGCGCTGTAAACGGCTTCCACCACCCAGGCCAGCTGCTGCGCGTTGGCAAGTACTTGCTTGATGAGGGCGCTGAGTTTCTTCAGCTTGGGGTCGCACTTGGTGTGGTAGGCTTCGCTTCCGCGTGGATGGCGCTGTCCAGCTGTTGCTTCCGCGGCTGGTCCTGCCTCGTCCTTGGCGTTGCCCTCGCCCTTGTCCGGCGCGTCGCCCATGTGCGCGCCCCCATTTCCCCTGTTGTGCCCCTGGCCTCGCGCCCTTTTCTGCTGGTTGTCCTTGCCGCCCTTGGGGTGTGATGTCTCCGCGTCCTTGGCCGAGCGCTCGGTGTCGGCCAAGCGGCTGGCGACCTCGCGGGTCTCCTGGTCGCTGGGCACGCGCCACGTCATCTGTGAAGAGGCCGATGTCCAATGCAATATCGCGCTGGTCAGAGGGCAGATGCGTCGCGCAAATGCATCCCTGGAAGCTTGAAAGATGCGCGGGCGGCAGCAGATCGGAACAGCGAGGGCAAACTGGATTCTCGACAGGAAGTAGTGGGTAGCTGAGTCTCGCGCTGTCGGCAATGCAACGCTTGTCTTGAGAGAACGCAATGGGCAATCTCCGATTGAGGCATGATCGCGACATGTAGTGCGACAAAGAGGACGTTGAATCGCGATGGTCACTGCTGCCGCTGCCGGTCGTAGCCCGTGTTATCCGCATTTGGTCGCGGTCTGGTGCATGCAAGGCGCTGCCCATGTCGGAAAAACTCGGCCGCAGTCTTGTTCTGTGTCCTTCAGGGGTTCACATTTGAAATATCCCAGCTCATCGCCGTCGCGTAGATCTTCTGCAAGCTGCTGCAGCTCGAAAAGAGGAGGAATCGATGCCGCTGAAGACTTGGCTCTAAGCTCTGCCACGTCTATCCTGAGGACTACCATGGCGACCTCCGCGCCATGATACAATTGCGGGATGCTTCCGCCCCACATGTAGCTGAACCGCTCTGCAGCGTCGAGCTCGAGAATGGAGAGGACGTCCTGGTAGCACTGCTTGGCCATCGGGTTCGCGCCTGGCGTGAAGTGCCCATTGTCGCCCAGCTCGCCGCGCTGGCCTCGGCTGGCGTCGTTCTCGAACTGGATGGGCTCGAATAAAGCCGCAAGTCACTGGTCGTAGTCTGGCGGGTACTTGACTGAGGCCTGTATCACGCGAAGGCGACGTACTCGCATCTCGATGAAAATATGTGAAATGTGGCATTACTAGTTAACCTCTATGTTGCACGTGGCGCGGTGTGTGCCCAGCTCGTCAGCGTTGGTCGCTTTGCCCTGCATGAGCACTCGCAGGTGCTTTGCAATGGCGGCGTCTAGGCGCTTGTATTTGGTGTCCCCCGGGTAGTGGGGCACCATGCCGCCGGCGCCGGCGCCCACAATGCGGCCGATGAAGATGATGCGCATGAAGCGCCAGGCGACGCGTCGATGCCAGAACCTGCCCATTATGTGCCATGCTCGCTTGATGCTCTGGATCCGCTGGCCGATCTCGACCGCGTTGCTGCCGGCGGGGTGGCAGTGGCCGCCGAGGTACTTCATGGCGCGTAGGACTCGCCCAGGAAGGTGGCGTTGTAGTCTGGCTCTCGCGCCTGGCGCGTAGCACTCCTGCGATCTATTCCTTGCCCCTGTTCTGGTGGAAGACGCATGTGGCGAGGGCGGTGTCGAGGGCGGCGCTGCTGTCGTTGAGGGTGTTGGCTGCGTCCTTGGCCAGTCTCGACTTGACGAGGTGCGACTTGAGGATGTCGTCTGCGCGCAGGTAGACGCACAGGTCGATCGACGCGCGCGTGACGGGCGACGCGGCAGCGAAGGGCTTGGTGACATTGGGCGTTTGGTCAAGCCATTGCCCCGTGGGTTGTTCGCGCACGGAGTTGAAGGAGGCGGGCCCAGTGCTGCGCCCTGGCGTAACTCCTGAGCCCATGCAGAAGTTGCCCGTCTGGTCGAACCCGTCGATCTGGACGCTTGCGCATTGATAACGTTGCTGGACAAGACGCTGCTCCGTGGCGCCGAGGTCGGTCGGGATGGTGTTGGCGGCCTTGTCGGTCTTGGTGCTGGGGAACGCGTTGGTTGCGCCCTTGCTGCCCGCGAAGAAGTCTGCCTTGGCCCGTTGGGGCCGGTGCGCCACGATCCTGGAGGCAGCCATTGGTACTTCGCGTCTGCGATGAGGCCAGCATCCGCGCGCGCGTGGCGGTGGCGACCATGGCGTCGACTTGCGCTGCAGCTGTCTGTAGAGGCACCGCCAGAAGGGGCATGGCATGTGGAATGCGCGAAATCCGAATATCTTGGGCTTGCCGTTTTTCTCGTCGAAAGTGACTCTGGCTGTGGCGGGCGCCAAGCGGTGCGAAGCCGGCGCGGTAGACATGATTGAGGACGGACTCGAGGCACTCCGCTGCGACGGGCGCCTCCGTGAGCTCGTCGTCGTTGCCGATCCCCGTCGTCTTGGGCTTCTGCTTCGTGATGGCGGCGGGCTGCAATGTCGCCTGGTAGATCTCGGCTGGCACTGACCACTCTGGCACGGCGGCGCGCTTCTTGATGTGCTCGAGCCTCTTCTTCACGCCGTGGAAGACCCTGCTGATGTTGCCCCTGGCCTGCTCGTACTCTGCGCGGATCTGGAGTTTGTGCTCTGTGGTGAAGTCGAGGGCGCTCAGCTTGAGCGCCTGCTCCTCTTCGAGTTCGATCGGGCGGGCTTCGAAGCCTCCGCGCTGTCCTTCTGGCGCCGCGCGCTGTGCCCATTCTGCGAGACTTGGCCGTGCGCGGGTGCCCCTGCTGTACTTGCGGTTGCGCTTGCCGCGGTTGGTGCCAGCTTGTAAACGAGCGAGGTGATGCACTTCAGCATGTTCTCGCTTCTGCCAGGCTTCGTAAATGAGGGCCTTTAGCTTGCGTCGGCGTTCTGCGTCGCGTGGACGCCTCTGCCTCTTCGGCGCTCTGGTGGGGAGCTCGATCTGGTACTCTGTGTTGTTGTCGACGTCGTCCCCTCCGATGCATTCTTGTCGCAGCTTAGCTCGAGCCTGTAGTTGTAAGAGTCTCTCTTTCATCAGCTGCTGGTCGGCGCCTGGCTTCTTCTTCTTGCGTTCGGAATATGGCTTGGCTGTGTCCTTCAGGATATGCACTAGGAATTCCAGGTGGTCATCTGTGGTGCTATCCGCTGCAAGGCGCTGTAAGGTATCTCGGTGCGTGGTGGGGTTGGCCTCTAGCGACTCGATGAACTCGCGGCGGTGTGCCCCCGTCTGCAATGAGTGGGCCACCGTGTCGTAGTCACAGGAGGTGCGCTCTAGATCCGTGAAGATGTTGGGCATAATGATGTCGGAAATGGTGACATGCGGCACGTGGTCCCTCTGCACGCTGTCGCTGATCAGCTGTAGTGCCTCGGTGGCTTTTCGCCAGACCTCGTACGACCGAGTGTGTATGCGTAGTCCCTGTGGGATAGCTATGTAGTCGGGCCGAGTAGCTTGACCCTGTTCTTCGAAGTGGGTCGGCCCTGCCTGCCAGAAAGTGTTGGGAATGCAAATGCCGTGGGCGTCGACCATGTTGTGGCAGGCAGCGGCTGCTTCACCTGGTACTCCTGCTGGCCCTGCGTCGCCGATGACGTTGCTGAGGGTTGCGGGGATGAGGCCGTCGAGCCCGTAGTGGTCATCCGGGTCGAGGCCTGTGATTGGCGAGTTCTTCGCTGGAGTCGCGCTGAATGTATTGTTGATCCATTGGAGCGTCTCGTTGGCCGTCTTGACCCACGCGTTGCGCTGCGCTGCTAGCCCTGACCGCGATGGGAGGTACGTCGCGATAAAAAAAAAGTGAGGTCGAGCTCTCTTCACATCGTAGACGAAGTGTTCGTGCGCGTCCTTGGATACTGGCAGAGGGGGCTTGGCACCTCGGTGATGCAGTTGGCGCGGTAGCGGTTGCTGATCATGATGGCGACCCTCGCGTGGCTGTTGGTGAGCGGGTTCCTGCCATATCCCCACGTGAAGATGCAGTGTTCGTGGGTCTGGAGCTGATCCGCGGTGTTGCTGGCGTCGTGCTGTCTCCATCGCGCTGCTGGCAAACATGACGACATCCACTGCACTGAACTGATGCGAGATCTCCATGTTTCCCAATGGCGCCACCATCGAAAGAGGATTGTACACTGCCCATCTCATGAACGGCATGCACATGATGACTATGAAAGAAGAAATGAGAGTGGCCAGCCGCGCTGGCATGACATGATGGTGCCCTGAGGGCGCAAGCTGCTCTGCGTGGGCTGCCTGCTGGGCCGCGAAGGGTGGGGCTGGAGCAGGAGACGGCGGCTGAGGAGGAGGAGGAGGAGGAGGAGGAGGAGGAGGAGGAGGAGGAGGAGGAGGGGGTGGGGGAGGAGGAGGAGGGGAAGAATTGGAAAAGGTACCGATACCGTTGCCCGTCCCACGTTTTCGCCTGTGTGGGCCTTCGGGACGGCCCTCGTGGCCACGGCTGCCTTCGCCTCGGCATTCTGGTCGGAACGCACCCCGGGACAGGTCCCGGGAGTGGCAGTATTGGTACCGTGCGGTTTTCCCATCAGAGATTCTCGATCTATCCTCACTCGATGCTGTCCTGACCGCGCGCGGATTACCCTCGATGTGTTCCTCAATGTCTACCCACAGAAACGTTCGGAGGCTCGCGCGGACTTCTTCGATCGCATCCCCCAGGCGCAGCCCCTGCCGCGCTCCACGCGCCAAAGGAGAAGTCCAGCGCCGATCCAGGAACTCTGCGCGGAACTCCGAAAATTTGGGTTCATGCCTCGGCGGCGAGCGAGGAGGGGAAGTAAGAAGGAGAAGGCCTTCTCAGAAAGTTTTGAAGTCCCCAGGCCTTCTGAGAAGTCTTCTAAGCCTTCCCCGAAGACACAGAAAACCTCTCAGAAGGGGCGAGGGCGTCTGAGAAGTCCCGCCGCCTTCTGAGAAGGCATTATCCTTCTTATTTCCCCCCCCTCGGTTCGCCGCCGAATACCGACTGTTTTTTCCTCTGGCGCACCAGATGCAGCCGTGGCAGGTCTGCGGGGTCTGCGGCAGCTCGCGGACGAGTCGCACATGCTCCTCGGGCACGGTGTCACTGTAGTGCTCCTTGTGATCATGCTCGAAGGCGGCGCTCGGGTTGTAGGCCGGCCACTGTCTCCGGAACTCCTCGCGGCCGGCCTCGTCAGGCGGAAGCCCGCGCCTCTCGAAGTTCTGCGCGGACTCGTTCCATGGGGACACCTTCCAGCCTCGGCAAGCCAGCGCGACGACCATGGCGAAGTCGCTGCTCATCGTTTTGTCGCCTTCCCTCCACTGCATCGGCCCCCAATCGATGCGCTGCACGTGGGCCGGGTCGAAGGCGTCGATGACGGCCTCGGCTCGGAAGTACGAGCCGCCCGCCAGGCCGAAGTGCTTCCACTCCAGCTGAAAGCAAGGCACGCGCTCTCTGCCCCGCCTCTCCACGTACGCCACCGTCTCCTCGTGGACCGCGGGGTTGTAATTGTCGAATATGCCGCCCGCGTCGTGCTGGGGTTCGGTGATGTGCCGGCGGCGCACGAGGACGTCTGGCTCGAGATATATCAGGAACGTGGTATGCAGGCGAAGAGCGGCTGCGCGCATACGCGCGAACCAAGAGTGCGGATTCCAACGACTGTTCTCGCCCTGCACAACCTCGAAGGTGCAGGCGTACTGCGGCAGTGCGCACAAGGGGCCAAAGTCCACAGGTCCCCCGTCTTGGAGGAGGTGTATCGGCGACTCTGGGTAGAACATGCGCACTCTGCCAACCACTCCGAGCACTCCTGGCACCTGGTCGTACACGGGGAAATAAAACCCGAATGTGGACGCCGCTTCGCCAGGCGGCGCAGAAGCGACGCCCTGCGACGCGGCGGCTCCGCCGTTCCGCAGCGGCGGCGGCAGCGCATCCTGGTCTTGGAAGCGGCCAGGGGGTCTGAGTTGGATGGGCCCTGGGAGAATCGGTGACGGGGGCGGGGGAATAAATGCAAATCCGCTCAAAATCGTTCCCCCGGGCCCTTCCAAAGGTCCAACTGATGCAGTTTTTTTTTACACCCCAGATCCGACTGATGCAGTTTTTGTTTACACCCCAGATCCCTTTTTCGGCCCGACAACGGCCCCCAGAGATTGAAAAAGCCAGAAAAAAACCGAGTGGGCCTCAGACCCTCGAACCTCGCCCACCCCGTCTTCCTGCTGGCCGGAGCCGGTGCTGGGCCACCTCAGGCCGAGAAGTCCGGGGCTGCGAGACGCTTGGAGCGGCCAACTTCGGCTACTCTCGGACTCGGGGGAAGGGGGGCAGCCCTCGGCGGGCCCTGAGCCCGTCAAAAACCACTCAGGACGGAGCGCCAACCCTGGGGAAGAGGTGACGACCTCCTCAGGGGTCCTCTCACGGCCAGACCAAGGACAGAAGGACATCCTTCAAGAACACGAGACCCTCCGCTGGCCAAACAGAAAAACAGCAGCGGGTACCCTCCCCCAGGAGGCACCAGAGCACCCAACCAAGACGAAGAACAGCAAGGTTTCCTCCCCGAGCCGACCTCGCTCTTCTACCTTGGTCTGGCCGTATCGAGAAATTGGAGCGCCCGACCCAGACATGCGTCGTCCTGATTTTTTGAATGCGCGGCCCCCGGAACTCCCGACCCTTTCCCCGGGACCGGCTTTTCATCCTGAGTCGTTTTTTTGACGGTCCCGAGGCCCAGCGAGGGCCCCTGGAGGCCGAAAATGGCGAAACCCCTCCCGTCGTGATCTTCTACGACGCGATCGCGTCTGGGGACCCCCCAGCCGACTCCAAGCCTGGTCGGCCCCGACAGCGCCAGCGACAGCGGGGCGCCACGCGGGTGCTGCCGCGTGCGCCAGGCTGTTCGGGCCGGGCGAAAGGGGGGGACAGCAAAGGGGGCGGGTGAGAATCGGCTCACGTATAGCTGATCTTCCTGGCGCCTCCCGGCGCCGGGAGGCTCCCATGCATCAAAGAGTGGGCCCAGCGGCGGGGCCGAAGCCAGCTGCATGCGGCATATTTCGTAAGCCCCCCTGTCCCTATCCCCCCCTTCGGCGGTGGACAAACCTCCCTTTAGTAGACCTCCCCTTAGTGAAAACGGCTTGGGACCGAAACCGACGGGCCTGGACCCACAAAAACGACGGCCGCGACACCCTCTCGCGAACCGAAAACGGCCAATTCCTCAATCGACGTGTCAAGGTAGGATTATGTCGGGCGTGTCCCCCTACGGGGGGATTTTCGACGAAAAATCAAAAATGCCCCCAAAATGCTCCAAAACAGGAAAAAAAATCAAGAAATAGGCCCCAGACTACTTTTGGACTATTGTTGAATATTCCCCCCGTAGAGGGACAGGCCCGACCCGTCAGGGTGGGAGGTCTGTCCACCTCCGACCCCTTTCGTTCGGCCCGACCCCTACCCCCCACGATTTCCGAGAGGTAGGGTGGGGTTCACTTCGTTCGGGAGCTCCCGAGCGAAGTGAGCCCCACCCTACCCCTCGGAAATCGTGGGGGGTAGGGGTAGGGTTCACATGTGGCCCCCTATATAACCAGCCTCGAACGTATCCCTATCCCTAAGATGGGCGAGCAAAAAGCGAGGACAATCTTAGGGATATGCCCTCAGAAACCGAAGGAATCCTTGAGATCGGCATCGAGGCGAGGTGATGTCAAACATAGGGATAGGGATACGTTTCAAACTGGTAACGATAGGCCCCCCTTTCCCTACGGTCGGACCTAGGACAGAAGAACATCCCTCAAGAACTTGAGACCCTCCGCCAGCCCAACCACACAGAACATCCAAGGGCACCCTCCCCAGGATGCACAGGAGCATCCAACAGACACGAAGAACACTAGGGTACCCTCCCCGAACCGCACTGGATTCCTGAATCCCATGCATTGCATACCTAGGAGGAGGAGGAGGAGGAGGAGGAGGAGGAGGAGGAGGAGGAGGAGGAGGAGGAGGACCCCTCTCGCTCGGCCCGAGCTGTGGAGCGGGGGCTCCGGCCGCCGCGCGCCGCCGCCCGGGCCGCCGCCGCGGCGCCGGGCCCCCGCGCCCTGCCTCCGGGCCAGGTCTATCGTCTCCGCGGCCGCGCTCGCGGCCTGCTCCTCGCCGGGCCCGGGCAGGGTCGCGCATCTCCTCCTCCTCCTCCTCCTCCTCCCTCTCCTCCTCCTCCTCCTCCTCCTCCTCCTCCTCCTCCTCCTCCTCCTCTCCTCCTGCTTCTCCTCTTCCTCCTCCACCTCCTCCTCCTCCTGCTCCTCCTCCTCCTCTTCCTCCTCCTGCGCGTCGTGACCAAGATCACGAGGGGAAGTTTGGTGGCCATATGTTCGGCCTCTGGGGGCCCTCGCCGGGCCCAGGCACGATCGCGTCGTCACCAAGATCACGGCGGGAGATGTCGTGGCCACTTTCAACCTCCGGGGGCCCTCGCCGGGCCTCACGACGGGAGGTGTTTGACCATTTTCGACCTCTGGGGGCCCTCGCCGGGCCCTGGGACCGCCAAGAAACGACTCGGGATGAGAAGCTGGTCCCGGGGAAACGGTCGGGACTTCCAGGGACCGCGCATAGAGAAAAATCAAGACGTCATATTCAGCAGAAGTTTTCTGGAGGCCTCCCCCAGATGGGGTCCGAGTAGATCGGGTCGGGGGGGTGCGCCGCATCGCCGATGCATCACCGATGCATCGGCGATGCATCCGCGACGTCGGCGATGCATCGGCGACGTCCGCGTGCAGACCATCGGGCTCCCCATCGAACCGCATCGCCGCTGTATCGGCGATGCGGCGCGATCCGCCGACCCCTCTGGGAGGACCGCGCGTTGTGAAAATCAAGACCTCGCGTGTCTGGGGAGGCCTCTCACATTTGGTCCGAGCAGATGGGGTCGGAGAGTCGCCCCGCATCGCCGATGCATCGGCGATGCATCGGCGATGCAGCGGCGCCGTCGGCGCGGACAAAATCGAGCTCCACACAGAGCCGCAGCGGCGATGCCTCGGCGATGCGGCGCGATGCTCCGACCCCGTCCACTCGGACCCCATCTGAGGAGAGGAGGAGGAGGAGATCCTCGACGTCAGAAGGCACGCTGTCCCACACGAGCCTGTCATCTACCACGACGAGGGCGAGCACACAGATGTCGGCTACACGCAAGGGTGACGCTGGGCAAGAATGACCTTTGGGGCGCGGCTTTTTGGGGGTCGCGGGGGCACCGAACACGAGCGCGCAAGACGCTACTACCGCATCGCGCTCGGCGATCAGAAAGGCCCCGATTGGGCCCGCACCACAGGTCACTCCGGCGAAGTTTCACTCCTGGACCCCCGACGTCATGATTTGTTCGCAACGTCGAGCCCCAAAGGTCTGGACCCCTTCGCTGGGACCGCTTGCTCCTCCCGGGCCGCCTCTCGATGGTCCCGGGGCAGGGCCCCCTCGAAAGCCGAGGGTGGCGAAACACCTCCCCCGCGTGCATGTTTTCCTCACAGCTCGAGGGGGGTCTGGGCTCTTACGTGTAGCCGAAGATGAGCACCCCGCCGAAGGCCGCCAACCGCCCGCTCCGCACGGCGGCCGGCATCAGCGGAGGGACGTCCAGGCCGAGCCCCTCGCCGCCTGCCGCCCGCCCGCACCCAGGAGGGGGAGGAGGGGGAAGAGGTGGAGGAGGAGGAGGAGGCGGAGGAGGAGGAGGAAGAGGAG